GAAACCACTGGGGCGGGGCTCGCGCATGGCGGTGTTTCCGGGTGCAAGAAGTTGATCGACAATATCCTCAACGACGGCGGAGGAGTCCTATTCATCGATGAGGCATATCAATTGACATCCGGCAATAACCCTGGCGGTGGCAGTGTATTGGACTACCTTCTCGCCGAAGTCGAAAATCTGAGAGGCAAGGTCGTCTTTGTGCTTGCTGGCTACAGCAAACAAATGGAGAGCTTCTTCGCCCATAATCCAGGTCTCCCTAGCCGGTTCCCGATTGACATGAGCTTTGCAGACTACACGGACGATGAGCTGCTAAGGATCTTTGAGCTCAAGGTCAACAAGAAGTACAAGAACGCGATGGACTGCGAGGACGGACTGCGAGGCCTCTACTGCCGTATCATTGCCAGACGAATTGGACGAGGGCGTGGCAAGGAAGGCTTTGGCAATGCTCGCACCGTCGAGAACAACCTTGACATTATCTCTCGAAGACAGGCAAACAGGATCAGGCGGGAACGGAAAGCAGGAAAGGCTGACATCGATGATTTGTTCTTTACTAAGGAGGATCTAATCGGCCCCGAACCGGCCGAAGCCCTCAACAAGTGCCAGGCCTGGAAGAAACTGCAGCAGCTTATTGGTCTTGCGTCGGTCAAGGAAGCCGTCAAAGCGCTTGTCGATAGCATCCAGCAGAACTACAAGAGAGAGTTAGCCGAGCAGCCGCCCATTCAGTATTCCCTCAACAAGGTTTTTCTTGGGAATCCGGGAACGGGAAAAACGACGGTAGCCAAGCTGTACGGAGAGATCCTCGTTACACTTGGATTACTTTCCAAAGGTGAAGGTAATGTACCCTTCGTACTTTGCCGATCCTGATTGTCCGCGCTAACTAATTGTTCCCCAGTGGTTGTCAAGAACCCGTCTGATTTTGTCGGCGGCGCCCTTGGGCAGTCCGAACAGCAAACCAAAGGTATCCTCGCTGCCACTTTGGGCAAGGTCCTCGTCATCGACGAGGCTTATGGTCTCTATGGAGGGGCATCTACTTCTGATCCATACAAGACGGCCGTCATAGACACCATTGTGGCAGAGGTCCAAAGCGTTCCGGGCGATGACCGGTGCGTGTTACTGCTTGGGTACAAGGACCAGATGGAGAACATGTTCCAGAACGTCAATCCGGGCCTCGCTCGCCGCTTTCCCATTGCTTCAGGATTCAACTTTGAAGATTTCTCGGATGAGGAGCTTCGTAAGATCTTTGATCTCAAGATCAAGCAGCAAGGATATCTGGCTTCTCTAAAGGCAACGGCTGTGGCAATGGACGTCTTGAAGCGGGCACGGAACCGGCCAAATTTTGGCAACGCTGGTGAAATCGATATCTTGCTGGACGCTACGAAGGCCCGCCATCAGCGACGGTTCTCTAAGGGGCAAGCACAGCCAGAGACGCTTGAGCCTCAAGATTTTGATCCAGACTTTGACAGAGCGTCCAGGTCGGAGACCAACATCCGGAAGCTCTTCGAGGGTTCAGTGGGCTCCGAGGATGTCGTCACTCTGCTGGAGCGTTACCAGGAGACCGTACGAACGTTCAAGTCCCTGGACATGGATCCAAAGGAGAACATCCCGTTCAACTTCCTTTTCAGAGGGCCTCCAGGAACCGGCAAGACCACCACTGCCAAGAAAATGGGCAAGGTCTTTTATGACATGGGCTTCTTGTCTACCGCTGAGGTGGTCGAATGTTCTGCCACTGACATGATCGGTCAATACGTTGGGCAGACTGGCCCGAAGGTGACCAGCCTTTTGGACAAGGCGCTTGGGAGAGTTCTATTTATTGACGAGGCGTATCGACTGGCCGATGGACCTTTTGCCAAGGAGGCGATGGATGAGCTGGTTGATTCTGTTACCAAGGACCGGTACTGCAAGAAGCTGATTATCATCCTCGCGGGCTACGAGGCGGACATCAATCGGTTGATGTCAGTCAATACTGGCCTAACATCCCGTTTCCCTGAGGTGGTCAACTTCCGAGCGCTGTCCCCCAAAGAATGCATTCAACTGCTTAGCAAACTGCTTGAGAAGCAAAAAGATGTCCTTAAGTCCAAAGGCAAGGAGCTGGACCTCTCCTGCTTGACGAACCCGAAACTTGCCTTCAAGAAATCGATGGTGTCCTACTTCGCTGAGCTAACCACGCAATCCAACTGGGCCAGCGCACGTGATGTCCAGAGCCTCGCAAAGAACATGTTCAACAGAGTCCTGCGCTGCAAGGAAGACTTGGCGGAGGGGCGCATCGTGCTCACAGAGGAAATCATCAGGCAGGAACTTGAGGCGGTCATGACTGAGCGGGCTTCGCGGAGCAATGCCGCGGCGGCAGCAAGTGGCGCGCCAACTGGATTGCCTGATGCCTTGCAGCAGTTCTTCCAGCCTCCACCTCAAACGCGGCCACCACCGTTCAACATCTCCACGGCTACTTCCACTTCATTTGCACAAGAGCAATCCCGCGTCGTCGAAGAGATATTCTCGGAAGATGAAGAGGAAGATCAGGAGCCTGCACCCGCTCCCGTGAAGATGAGAAAGGAAGCAGCCGACTCTAACTCCAAGTACGGAGCCCAGCGCGACGCAGGAGTGAGTGACGCAGTCTGGGAGCAGCTTCAGCGCGATCGTAAGGCCGAGGAGGAGCGGGAAGAGGAATATGAGCGACTGAAAGAGGAAGCGAAAAAGGCTTCGGATGCGGCCAGGGACAGAATCGTGAAGAGGCTGTTGGAGGAAGAAGCGAGGAGGAAGAAGGAGCAAGAGATGCAGATGAAGTTAAAGATAATGGGGGCTTGTCCAGCGGGGTTCAATTGGATTAAGCAATCCAGCGGGTATAGGTGCGCTGGAGGAAGCCATTGGATGAGTGATGCCGATCTGGGGATGAAGTGACTTGGAGTTGGGGGGCGGACAGACAGGCACTTTCGACAGGATATGTGATGTGATTTGGAGGCTGGGTTGGGGAGGACGAATGGCGCAGAACCATGGGAGGCTGGTCAGACACTTGATATTTTGACGGCCTTCCACAATATGTTTTGTATTATCTGTTCATGCGATGGGAATATTAAAACTCCCTCTTTATACGTATAACTCCTCTACTTTCTCGTCATGAGTGAAGTCTTGTTGCAAAGTGATCCGAAATGTTGTGCAAACATCCCATTCTCGTCAAATCGGAACAAAGATGACGGGGGAGGTTTCAGCGCCTTGCACAGGGACTTTACAGTAGGAACGCTGCTGTAGCGTGCTGCGGCCCCACATCCGCCAAAGGTTCACCCCCCC